GCTGGCGCTGCCGCCCGGGGCGGAGAAACATCCATCGGCGCTGTGCTGGGCTTTTGGCCTGCTCGGCATTCGATTGAGGAGTGGCCGCGCTCTTCCGGCGCCCGGCGCCACTTCCGGCCTTGGCTTCTGGTTAGCGGTGCAGACCTCAGGTAAGTCCTGCGCGGTATTGCTGTTGCCTGGCTCGGGGTTCCACGGATCCGCCGTGTCGGGGGAGCCCGTGCGGTCGCCCGCCCTGGCCCCGGTACCGCCGAGGGGTGTTCATGGGTTCTAGGAAGGGACAGAGGCCTAGCGGGTGCGAGCGGGGCCCGGCCTCGGAAACCGGTCTCCGGCAGGGCTGGTGGGGTTTTTCCCCGCCGGTGTCCGGAGACGCCGAGCTGGCGCGCGGTCATGAATGGCCCTTCGCTCGTCGGGGCAGTGTACAGTTGACTGCCCCTTCAGGGCCTCCCAGCAGCGGCATGTTTGAAGGGGACGTTTCTTGTGCCCATGCACCGTTTCAGGCCGCAGGAGGTACCGCCGGAGGCTCCCCCTTCAGTTTGGCTCTTCCGGTTCTTCCCGACCCTGCCCCTTATCTATGTTCCTATTTAGGGAGGTGCAAGTGACCTATCATTTGTTCTCTGCACGGGTGCAGACCGTTTAAGTCATCTTGTGCTGTTCACGTATGGTGGGCGCACCATCAGTATTTGTGAGGTTCAGGAGAATGTGGGGCACCGAGAAAATGAAAAAACTTCACAGTCCCCAACAAAAAATCTTATGTGAAAAGATTAGATGTAGAACATAAATATGAGTGTGAAGCAATATAAAGTATGGATATAAAGTACTCTGGTGGGTGTGAAAGAAAAGTAGAGGAGAAAAAGTGGGGAACTGAGTTCACAACCCCGCTGCTTTTTGGCTCTGTGACCCCAAGACCATTGTGTTCCCTAACTTTCAGTAGTCAATAATAGTAAGCAGGTGCTTTATTGTTGCAAGAGCCGTTAGATATTGGTCTCACTTAGTCTTTGGTGCTATTACGATCCAGAATTTGTAGGTGGGGACCCGAGACAATAAAAGGAATGTGCCCCTCCGTGAGGCAGCTAGTGGAAGCATAGAGTTTAAGCTCAAATCTTAGTGGTGCTGGAATCTGAGCTCTTAACCATTACCCAGAATTGTTCTCTGAGAGCATCATTTTTCAGTCTGTTAGAGGTAATCTTGGAGTCAGCCCTGGAGATGATGTGTATAGATTAAGAAATAGGGTTGAGGGCTGGTGAGATGGCTCCATGGGTAAAGGTGACTTGCTGCCAAGCTTGACCACTTGAGTTCCATCCCTGGAATGCACATGGGGAAGGAGAGAACCTACTCTTGCAAGTTGTCCTCTGACCTCTGCAAGCACACTCTAAATAAGTAAGTGTTTTTAAAAAGAGGTTTGAAAGTTTTGGAGGTACACCCATGAACTATGCTGTAAACTTTATTGTTGTTCTATTGTAATGATTTTTGCTAGATAAATGTTTACTAGTTTGTTTTTCTTACCTAAAGTTTTTAATTTGGGGTGAATACATTGTATGAAGTATATTGTAGGAGATTCTCAAAGAACTAATAAAACATTCTTTTTAAAATAATTTATTATTTTTATTTTATGTGTATGTGTGTATTGTCAGCATGTATGTGTCATGCAAGGCCCACAGAGGCCAGAAGAGGGTGTTGCATTCACCTGAAATGGGAATTATGGATGGTTGTTAGGTGCCCTGTGGGTGCTGGGAATCGAACCCAGGTCCTCTTCAGCAGTGCTTTTAACCCCTGAGCCATCTCTCCAGCCCCTAAAAATAGTCTTAAAATTATTTCATTATGCAGATGGAAAGAAAGTATCACTTAAGTGGAGGATAAGGGATAAGTATTACCTCAAATAAAAGGTACTAAAATCAGCCTAATGCTGCTGTTCTACCAAATTTTGAGCTTGAGAACTCTTTATTTGTCTGAAAAGCATGGCTAGTAGAGGCTTGGGAGAATTACTGTCTACTGTCAGCTGACATTCTGACATCTGGGATTCAAAAGGAGTTTTAAAATGAATAGTTCTTGTCTTTTGTTATGTCAAACACCAATATGATTTACCATCCCTGATGATAACAGATTATTATTTCTTTTAGGCTTTTGAAGAATTTAATCCAAACATGGATATCAGACCAAATCATACGATTTATATCAACAATATGAATGACAAGATTAAAAAAGAAGGTATGTGCCTTGTAAAATATTTTGTACACAACAAAAATGAATTATTCACCACTGTCTTAAGTATTGTACTACTACAAAATTCCTCATATAGTTCTCTTTCTTTTGG